CTATTATAAAAAAACTAAGTACCTAATGAACTCGATTCATATGACGGTCGAGTCATATTGAATAGAAATAGAAATAGAAATAATCTTTATTCAAATAAACTCATTACAAGCACTTTTGAATAGTCATATTTTGATTCTACCACTCATTCGGAATGCAGATTCATCACAAGAAGAATGAGCAAGAAACTTGTGTGTTGCTCTTTTTAATAGATGTTTTTTTATATAAATAATTACAATATAACAAGTAAGAGGCATGCGATAATCAACATAGAAGTCGCTACGCACTCATTATTAATGTAATCAGATAATATTGTCAGTGCTATAGATTTAAAGTTTTTCTATAAAAAGATTATTATCGTTAACGAATTCTTCAATTTTATAGTAAGCTTTTTTGCAAAGGAACTGTTTTATTTGACATTTAAATCTTTTTTCTGGCAGATTTATAACAGACTCTGGTATTTTATTGTAAAACCTTACGCAATTTCCATAAAACGAATTACTAACTTTAGCCAAACGACATTTAGGTAAAATCAGTTTGTTATTGTTACGTAAGCTTTTATTAGTGCAATCACTAACTCTTTTGAAACTGTCTATATTCCTTCTGGCATGATGAATATAGTATAGTTTTATAGTTGAAAAAGTATTTAGCTATGCCCTTGGTTTTTACCTAAAATTTATAGCGATAAAATTTATAGTCATTCAGTTCAGCAGTTTTGGCGTGAAAGAGTAACAAACATCCATACTCAGAAACTTTCGCGTGTATAATATTAATAAGATTTTAATCCATACTAGTGGTTGTCCTGTAGTCGAAATTCAACCATAATTAATAAAGAATATAGTATATATTCGTGTGTTTGTCAAATACACGGTAGTATGTGTAATGATTTTCTATTGATTCAATATATTTTTAGATATTATTAAATTAAAAAAAATATTAATATTCTGCACTTTTTCTCTATATAAATTATAAGTGTGCGAAATTTCATACTCCGTCCGCGCGATTTTATTAAAAAAGGCTACAAAGATTTATGAATAGAATAGAATAGAATAGAAAATCATTTCTTCAAATAAACTTAATTTAAGCACATTTGTGTAATAGTCAACAATTTTTTTTAAATCTACCGCTTATTCGGAAAGCTGTTTCATCACAAGAAGAATAAGCAAGAAACTTGTGTGTTGCTCTTTTAAACAATTTGCTTCACACTTCTCTTTTTCAAATTCACTTAAGGTGAATGTGTTGACCTTAAGATGAACCTACATATGCTATTGCGTTTTTGTCCAAATTGTTCCGTGACCGAATTATGTGTTAAACTTTATGATTTGAATGTATGTTTATTAGATTATAGCTTACTAGCAGCGCCCGCGGTTTCACTCGCGTCAAATTTCTTTAAAAAAATATAGCTTATATGTTATTCTGATGCATAAGCTATATTACTGTAATGTTTATTCAAAATCCGTTTAGCAGTTTTTACGTGAAAGAGTAACAAACATCCATACTTACTAACTTTAGCATCATTACTTAGTATACTAAGTACTAAGAGGACACTGACTTCTGAAACACAGGTATTTTCTATACCTACCTCAGAAATCAGGGACTTCTTAAGTATTTGTATTTGTAAAAAAAAAAAAAAATTTTTAGACAATAAAGATAAAAGATTAAAGTATAAAACAAAGTCGCTGTCGTTGTCTGTCCGTCCTTATATATGCTTAAATCTTTAAAACTACGCAACGGATTTTGAAACGGTTCTTTTTAATAGATAAGGTGATTCAAGAGATATATAATTATGTACACCCGTGCGAAGCCGGGGCGAGTAGCTAGTATATAATATTACCACAGATAACATAATATTACATAATATTACTAAGATTTAATGAACTGGCTAATGAACTGGTGAGTAATCAAGGAACCTGCCAGTTAATTCTCATAGGTAGATATTAATTGACTGATTGATCAGTCAATTACTGCGTACCTATTAGATTATTAGAGCGTGTATTAGAAACAATACGCGGCACCCGCCCTGCTTCACCAACCAATTAATATTATGACAATGCACCGCATTATAATCGGCGTATTAGCGCGCGCCTCCGTGACACCGCCGCCCGCGTATCATTGTTCTCGCCAGTACAGTTTGACGTTTGTTTTGGCGCGAATTCAAACGCGACGCCGCAAATGGTGTTGACACCATCAAAATGGAGATTATTCATGGATGTTTGCGGCCCTTTGTTGGGGTTACACAGCGAGTTTATGAAATTTATATTGACACGGCCGAGATTATTGAGTCTTTGTTATGAAGGATTTGAATTTAGGAACGCGAATGTGGGAAAACGGGTCGCGTGCCGCTGACAGATATTAATAACGGCGCAGAGGTCGCATATACCTACACTGTGGTAATATTCTGTGTCTACCACTCAACCATTGACGCGTAATATACGTACGTGGCATGAGAGTCCACTAATTTGAAGACACCACTCGAGATCGCGGTAAAAATTCAAACAAGGAATTCGCAAAAGTCCTCGAGAATGAAAGCGATGCTCCCCGATTCACTGGTGTTGTCGACGGTGCGTGAAACAAGATGCCAACGTAACGAGCTAACCCGGAGTGTCTTGCGTGTTGCCAGTGGTAAAAATAACAAACGGACGTGGTACAACATGGCCGCCTGAGGCGTCGCGCGCCCTCATCTCGTATTTTATCGTAGGCATTTTGTTCCGTAATTGAATCCGAGGGATGTTCGGGTCATAGCCGCAGGCAGTGGTTATGAAACCGATTATATTGTGATTTATGTTGTCTGTGTCGCTAACAGTAGCTTCAGGCGGCCGCCGGGCGCCGGGCGTTACATACACAGACACTGTTTTACGACGGTAATTTATTGGCGTCTGACATGACTACACATACAACAGCTAGAGAAGGGATGTATTCATTAAAACGAGGAATAAAATGATCCGATAGGACAGATTTGTTAATCGATTTACGAACAATCAAACATTAATCGATTGATTGTCACTCGAATAAGTACCTGTTCAAACATAGACAATGTAATTATTCATTATTCTGATTTTAATTAAACATTACATTTTGTCTATTAACGGATATAGATTATTGTAAGTCTATTTTCAACAAAGCTAAATGATTTTTTTAACATAGAGGGATGGAGGGCATATCAGCTTGCGGTTCACCTACTGGTAAGTGATTACAATCATCACCCACAACATCAGAGAAAAATACAAAGTGCGTTACAAAAAATACATCTCTATATGATGATCTACGTAATGCTGTAATGATAATACGTAGATCTCAATTCTTGTACTTAAACGTTCGTGGGTAGAACGTGAATTTACAGGAATTCTCTCTCTCATAATAAATGTTTTTATTAATTAATTATCATCACAAGTTTAATACTAAAATTTACGACGAACTAACAGGAGATAACCGTTCTCACGGGCGACGAGACGACAAACAGCTAGTTTATTGAATAAAATATATTTTAGACAATCTATCTTTTACACATTATACCTAATATTGTTATAGTTGTGTTTAGAAATCAAATAGCTAATAGGATTTTTTGCGAAACTGAGCATAATAAAGATATTTCGTAGACGGTCTACGAGATGCTACGTCATCTACGACTCTACGTAACCTACCACGCTGTCCTACTTCTAGCGATGTTAATGTTAAAATATTTTCATATGTAAAAGAATACAAATAATTACTCAAAGCTTAGTTAAGTATTGTTATTGGTTAACCGACTTCATAAAAGGAAGGTTTCCTTCCATAATTAAGTAAATACAATTACATGTAAAATAAATTCACAAAGTTACATGAAGAATTAGTATATAATATTAAAATATATATTACTTGCGGCATTATTGACATTTCTTATAGATATATTAATGTACGATCGTATTAAAGTATAAGTTACAATTATTATTTATGTAGGACTATTTTGTACAACAATTTTTTATTACTATCTCTACCATTTAGTTTGGCTAGCTATTTAAATTCATACTAACTGGCTAAAACTCAGATCTTACATTGATACTTCGAAAAATACATTGTTCACTAACTTGTTATCATTACATAGTATAAAACAAAGCTCGCTGTCATTGTCTGTCCGTCTCTATGTATGCTTAAATCTTTAAAACTACGCAACTGATTTTCAAGCGGTATTTTTAATAGATAGAGTGATTCAAGAGGAAGGTTTATATGTATAATACAGGTACACCCGTGCGAAGCCGGTGTGGGTAGAAAGTACATAATATGTGTGTCCAGAATATTTGTAAAGCGTTAAAATATTAGGAGATCATGAATAACATTATTATGCTAGCTAGTATTTGATAAAAATAGGGTATATAACCCTATTTTTATCAAACACTAGCTACCCGCTGCAACTCCACACAAGTGCACATATATTATACATATAAACCTTCCTCTTAAATCACTCTATTGCTAAGAACTGCATTAAAATCCGTTGCGTAGTTTGTTATCTAAGCGAAAAGACAGCCGAAGCGACTTTATTTTATACTATGTAAAGATGAACAATTATAGGATTTTCTTTTCATGATATACGACAATGTTAATAAACTGGGTTTAAAACCGAATCAGTTGAGTTTCTTGCCAGTTCTGAGCAATTAAATTTATAGACAGAACTGGACGGTAGAGAAAAAAATTAATACAATAAAACTTGATGTTCATTAGCGGCAAAATTATCCTAGAAGAGCGTAGCGGTTTTCTTGTTGATTGTCGCATGCCTAATCCTTGTTGTTGTTTAAATATAAGCACATCAATATTTATTTAAAAGAGCAACACACAAGTTTCTTGCTCATTCTTCTTGTGATGAGTATGTATTCCGAATGAGCGGTAGAATCAAAAAAAATTACTATTCAAAAGTGCTTATATTAAGTTTATTTGAATAAAGATTATTTCTATTTCTATTTTTAGATATTTTATTTAATTTGTATTGTAAAAAAGCATGGAATAGTTTAAAATTATGTCTATTACTGACCTGCGTCGGCGTTAAATGTATGAGCGATGCGAGATGCTCCCTCTCTGGTGCTGATAAATACTTTTGTTGCTTAAACCTTCGCTCCAACTCGTACACCTGCAACAAGGAGCTTATTAGACGTATTGGTTTTGGAATATAAAATATATAAATAAATATAAGCATCGAACCCGCGACCACTGTAAGTAAAGAGGTGTGTTAAACCGCTAGACCACCGAGACCGTCAATAAATATATATCTTACTAATATTATAAAAGAAAGTTTGTGAGTATGGATGGATGTTTGTTACTATTTCACGCACAAAATACAATGGATTTTAATAAAACTTTACAATAATATAGCTTATACATTAGAATAACATATATACTATAAATTTCACGCAAGTAAAATTCGCGAACACAACTAGAACATAATATACACAGAAAACACCCAGACCGATACAAATAATCATACTCATGAATAAAAATGTTTGCACCGTGCAAGGAATCGAACCCGCGACCACTGGAAGTACAGAGGTGTGTTAAACCGCTAGAGCACCAAAGCCGTCAATAAGTAAATATCTTATATCTATTATTATAAACGCGAAAGTTTGTGAGTATGTATGAATGTTTGTTACTTATTTACGCAAAAACTACTGAATGTCTTTAAATAATCATCAATATAACATATAAGCTAGTAATTTTATAAAGTAGGTTAAAACGAATTAATGCAGATAACAGTGCTGAGTATGACAAATCGGGGCCCTCGCATTAAAAACAACTGGCTACGAGGAATTTTCCGGAATAGAATTAATTACGCCAACTATACGTACAGTCTGCCTTCGTACTTCGCCCCCGGGGGCAGGGGCGGGGCTGAGCCTCCGACAGGGCGGGGGCGACCCCGCCTCGCAATTAAATAGCTCGCGTTCATGTAATTTGGTTATATAGCTATAACTTTATTTGTAATCCTAGATTGCTTTGTTTCAGGTATATATTCATGTAAAGTTTTAGTAGTATAGTATACTAGCTACTCGCCCTGGATTTGCACGGGTGTACGTTATATTATATATAGTGTATACCTTCCTCTAGAATCACCTATCTATTAAAAAGAACACTTCAAAATCCGTTGCGTAGTTTTAAAGATTTAAGCATACATAGGAAACAACAGCTACAGCGACTTTATTTTATATTATGTATGATATTATATATATATATAACCGTTCCTCTAGAATCACTTTATCTATTAAAAAACCGCTTCAAAATCCGTTGCGTAGTTTTAAAGATTTAAGCATACATAGTGACGGACAGACAGCGACAGCGACTTTGTATTATAGTATGTAATGATAATGATACCAGCGAAGTTTCTCTAAAAGATCTTGGCCTATCTGGAACTGCAGTACATGAGTTCCATACTAGAACATGTATCTACAACTGCACTAGCAGGCTCCTACCAGATTAGGCTGGACAAGGAGAGAAACACGAGTGGTGAAGGTGAGTGTTAAAGTTGTAACGTATATAAGAGGCCACCTAAACCTTCACCCGGGTCACAAGTCCCGGGAACTGCTCGGAGATTCCCTCTCTGCCACACGATGGACCCGACACCCTCACGGTGATCCATGGAATATTATGAAGTTCGTCTCTTCTTTTTCGTATGTAGCAATCGTTGATCATCCATAAACAATGCGAACCTTTGTTGCCCTAATGTCATATACTATTTTTATGGTGACAAATGGTAAGTGATTATCACATAGTGGTAAGTGATTACCGCCGCCCATGAGCACCTCCAACTCCATGGAAATGCAAGTGCGTTGCTGATATTTCAAGAAGGAATAAACTCTTTTCTTTAAGGTTTAAATATCTTATCGGTTCAGAAATACCAAACGCTGTAAGGTGATTCCACAATGTGGAATTCCTTTTTTTTTTACTTGGAGAAAATCCCTCATGGAGAAGAAGTCCCGTCCGAGAGAGAGGGGGGAGTGGAGTGGAATGAGCGGGTATTTTGAGACTCCTACTTACTAAAACCTCTACGATGTCTCTTCGCCATAAGCAGAAGTCGCGTGATCGAGTATAAGTCCACCGCGATTTCGATAGCGGTGGCCCACTTTAGCTATGGGCCTCATCTCTGCGGGTTCCCTAGAGGAACCCAAATGTGGAATTCCTATTTTTTTATTGGGGGGGTTTGGGCTATTGTCAAGTGCTAAGACCTGTAACACTGCGACCTTTATAGATCTATTGTGCCCTTATTCAAAGTTTGCTACCTAGACCGGTGAAGGACAAAAATTGAAGGATATTCTTAGGAGCGATGGGTTTTATCTTCTCAGGATATAGTGTATACTTTCCAAAGGAGATATTTCGTTAATACATGAGAGGGCTACAACCACATAGGATGTTTAGTGGCGTTTCCTTCTCTCTTGGCAAACTCTGCATATAGATGTTAAGCTAAGGAATTCCTAATCTAATTGTATAGAAATAAATACATAGTGATATAAACGATCAGCACAACTCTGAAGTTAAACGTATGAGGTGACCGAGTTGCTATGGAAAAAGGGGCCACAATAAAACTCTCACGCTTGACGCGATCAGGAAAATCTCCCCTAACAAGGCGATCTATTCACGGTACGACATTGAAATCACTAGTGTTATTTATATAAGGCACGAAATGAATTTTCTGTAATATTATTTAACTGACTTGAACAGCTCGTATTATACAAGCTGTCAGCAGATAGTAAATACAATTTTTATTGTTTAAAAGAGCAACATACAAGTTTCTTGCTTATTCTTCTTGTGATGAGACAGCTTTCCGAATAAGCGGTAGATTTAAAAAAATGTTGACTATTCAAAAGTGCTTAAATTAAGTTTATTTGAATAAATGATTTTCTATTCTATTCTATTCTATATGGTTTTTATTACTAACTATTCACCCCGGCTTGACACGGGTGTACATGTATTATATATATATACCTTCCTTTAGAGTTACTTTATCTATTAAAAAAACCGCTTCAAAATCCGTTCGGTAGTTTTAAAGATTTAAGCATACATAGGGACGGACAAACAGCGACAGCGATTTTGTTTTATACTATGTAGTGAAGTATAGATTATAATTACTATACCCCTTATATTCTGTGCAAGTCAGTTAAAAAATATTGTCACGATTTTAACTTGTAACTGAAGATATATTCCATGAGACTATATATACATGTTTATTATAATTTAATTTTATATTTATTTCGTATGTATTCAATAAGATTTAATTTTTGTTTATTTTTATAATTATATATGTATTTTACACTGGTATATTAGTATGTTTATATATTTGAATATGTATATATATATATTAATTTTCTGTATTTATCTATATTTGTTTTTCTTTATATATTAATTACAAAATTGCACCGCCTTATTATCTCTGATCAACGCGACTGTTCACTGGTAGAGAATGCCATCAGGCGTTAAGTCCGCCATGTATACAATTTTATATGCAAAAGAATAAATGAATAAACAAATATCTTCCATATAATAAAGATGGTATCACTTATATTTTTATTACATGTAAGTACAGATGTGGCAGCAGGCGAAGATTGAATTGTATATCATCTTTGCAATAAAACAGGGTCAGTGCTCTTACCAATTCAATTACAGCGTCATCGGACACCGGTCTCCAAGTGTCTATGACCTGTCCAACTTAGGAATGTGTCGACTTTATTTATACCTTAAATAGACACCCTAATAACCGGATCTTAACACAAATTATTTTATGACAAATAAAGGTATTTACCTCTCTCGACGTTTTGATTAGGTTGCACTAGCCGTGGTCACGAGCTGACTGGAGTAACAGCGATGTAATATAGATAGATGACAGCAGTTTTTTCATCTACCATAACTAGAATGTTCAACGAAAGTACGCGACACACAGCACTCATGTTATCCGTACTTACCACGGTTAGTGCAACCTAGTCGAAACGTCGAGAGAGGTAAATACCTTTATTTGCAATAAAATTATTCCTATTAAGATCCGGTTAATAATATAAATAACTTATATTAAACACGAAAGTTTAAAAATAACTACTTACTTGACATCATTGTTATATTTTGACCAATTTACATAATATCTTTTAAATTGTAGCAATAACAATGTTATTCTGATATAGAACCTATATTGCTGTAAATGTTCATCAAAATTATTTCAGTTTTTGCATGAAAAAGTAACAAACATGTATGTTTATAATATTAGTAAAATTCTGCCTTCTATAAACCATAGACAAAATATTTGGAGGACAAACTATTCTATTATTATTTCTGAAAGTCTGCTAGTTAGAAATAGAAATAATCTTTATTCAAATAAACTCATTACAAGCACTTTTGAATAGTCATATTTTGATTCTACCACTCATTCGGAATGCAGATTCATCACAAGAAGAACGAGCAAGAAACTTGTGTGTTGCTCTTTTTAATAGATGTTTTTTTTATATAAATAATTACAGTATAACAAGTAAGAGGCATGCGATAATCAACATAGAAATCGCTACGCACTCATTATTAATGTAATTAGATAATATTGTCAGTGCTATGGATTTAAAGTTTTTCTATAAAAGTTAGTTAGTTAGTTAAACTGAGCCACAGTTTATTCAATAAATTATTTCTAAACATGTTTAGTGATAGTAGTTTAAATATAAACGTGAATAAATTTAATCTTATTCATATTAGTCATTGAAGTTTGAATGTTTGATAATTTTTCAAGTAAAAACTACCGCAGTGATTCAACAGAAATTTGTTAAACAAATAAATCTTATTAATATTACAAACACGAGCATTGCTGAGTGTAGATGGATGTTTGGATGTTTGTTGCTCTTTCACGCAAAAAGTACTAAATGGAATTGAATGAAACTTTACAATAATGTAGCTTATATATCAGAATAACATTTAGGCTATAAAATTCAGACAGGTGAAGCCCTGGGTATAGGTAGTATTTCATAGCAATTTAACACATACATAACATTCGTAAAATAATTTCTTTTTAATAATATTGTCATGATTATTTTTTTATTTTTATAATATATTGGCGACGACCTCGATGGTCTAACCGTTTAGCTCACTGCTTTGCTTTCAATGGACGCGGGTTCGATTCCTCGCACGGTAGAAACAATTTTATTCATGAATATGATTGTTTCCAAAATGCTTGTTTGTATAAACATATATCTAAATATTTATATCAGTTGTTTAGGTCTCAGAATAAAAGCTCTGCTTATCGTGGAACTAGATGACGCTGTGCTAATTGTCCAGGGTTATTTATTATATATTCACATCTAAACGATTACTTGCATAACGAGCGTACATTGCAATAGTTGATCATGCACGGGATTTTTATTTAAAATGTATGTTTATATAGATAAATATACATTTTAAATAAACTGGCTTTTTAAAACAGAAATAAAATATTCAATGGAGTTTCTTGCCAGTTCTTCTCAATTGGACCTATATCTATACTGAACTGGACGGTAGGGAAAAAATTAACAATATAAAAAAAAAACTATCTTAAGCGGCCAAAATGTCCTACATGAATAAATAATTCATGAATTTAAATTTGAGATACAACTAGTAATTAAATCTTATATATAAAATTCTCGTGTCACAGTTTTCGTTCCCATACTCCTCCGAAACGGCTTGACCGATTCTCATGAAATTATGTGAGCGTATTGAGTAGGTCTGAGAATCGGCCAACATCTATTTTTCATCCCCCTAAATGTTAGGGGTAGTCCACCCCAAATTTCTTTTTTACATATTTTAGACAACATTTTTAGTTTCTATTTTTTTACGATACAACATACAAAAATACATACAATCCTAAATTTTCACCCTTCTATCATCAACCCCTATTTTTTTATAGCGTTATTAATCTATATGGCAAAACTTTTGCCGGGACAGCTAGTATAATATATGCATTAGTCGCATACCGCAGTGTCGTACCGTGAATAGGCGTCATTAAGCTACGAATTATCGCAGGTAAGCTCCCGGCCTGATATTTATTTGTAAAATGATCGGCAAATAAAGACTCCCCCAACTGAGGGGTGCAAATACGGAATTTGTTGGGGCTAAGTGAACAAAAAGTTTGCGTATATACCTATCTACACACAGCTCGCCTGGCTTGGTATACATTTGAAGCCATGGTGTCCAGCGGTTGAGTACACAGTCTGATGTATTAAACGGTTGTGGGTTTGAATCACAGAAGCGTATATTCATTACGTATAGATTTATGTATACTATTTAAATGGTTGGAAATAATATTATCTATACATATAAATAAAATTTGAGTGTCTGTTTGTAATATTGAAATAGTATAAAATACTACATGCATATGAATATAAATACGGTACATACACCAAAATAACATTTTTCATAATTTTTGTCTGACTGTCTGTTTGTTGTCGAACTTGTCTTTTGAACCCATTTTGACGGGACTTTTTTTGGCAAATAGCTGATGTAATGAGTAACTTAGGCTACTTTTAAAGCTTTAAAAAAATAAGGTTAAAATTCCACGCGGACGTAGTTGCGAGAACAGCTAGTACTAAATAAATTAAAATAAACTTTTTTATTTACTTATTTTGAAACATTTAAGTTAATTATACAGATCTTGCACTAGGAGAACCTGTATCGCGGGAGACCAAAATAAAATTGCCATATGTTAATAACTAAATATAAAAATAGAATAAACTAAATATAAACATTTTTTTTATTATTGGTACCACTTGCGGGTTCGATTCCTCGCACGGTACAAACTTTTGTATTCATGAGTTATCGTTTGTATTGGTCTGGGTGTTTTCTATGCATATTAACAATGCATTTTATATCAGTAGTCTAGTACCCATAACACAAGCTGTACTTGGTTTGGGACTAGATGGCGTGTGAATTTTCCAGGGTTATTAATACCAGTATAAAATCTGCCTCAGTCAAGTTGGTATTGACTCACCTGCGCCTGCGTGAACAGGACTCTTCTCTTCCGCCGTTGCGCGAGGGGAAACTGCATGGGTTTCGCGTCTGGTCCAGCGCAGGCCGCCAGCCCTCCCATGTTGTTGACATGGCCCATCCCGCCCGAGGTGGACGTCATCAGCCTGGAAACTAAAGCAGCCGCTCAGATACGCACACTTCGACTGACCAACATATATTTTAAAGACTAAACTTGTAATATTTCTGTCAACACTCGGCACTCTTCCATTAGTTAATTATATTCTAGAAATCATTCCTTGTGCATATGAATTTCAAAGCGTTAACTGAATTTTTAGGATTGTATCTTCACTTATAATGTTTCTGTCAGCACTCGACACCCTTCCGTTAGTTAATTCTGTTCTAGAAATTCTTCCTTGGGCTATGATGATGATTATATGAGTTACAAGGCGTTTGTGACCGAGGTCCTTACTAACATACTGACTTCATGAAGAAGGACTACCGACGAAAAGAGGTAGTGTATCGGCGCTACCGTGGTAGATTGTCGTCAGAGATGTAAGTGCCGTGACCGTCAGTATATATTTATATATTACATTAAATACTATATCATTCATGTGTGTTAGTCTATACGGTATTTTTAGTACTGTGCCTCCACTTACAACATTTATGCCAACACTCGGCACCCTTCCATTAGTTAATTATATTCTAGAAATGATTCCTTGTGCATATGAGTTTTGGCCTATGGCCCGGGTCCCTACAAACATATTGACTTCATGAAGGTGTACTACTGACCGAAAGGTGTATCCGCACCACCGTGGGAGATCAGCGTCGTCAGTGCCGTGACCACACAGTCAATTTTTATTTATATCTTATATTAAACTAGCTACTCACCCTGGCTTCACATGGGTGTACATATATTACATGTATAAACCTTCCTCTAGAATCACTCTATTTATTTAAAAAAATTGTGCGTAGTTTTAAAGATTTAAGCATACATAGGGACGGACAGACAGCAACAGCGATTTTGTTTTATACTATGTAATGTTTATATCATTATTATATATGTCTTCTATAAAGTATTTATAATATGAGCCGTTACACTATGTGAGCTGTGGCATGGCGCGGGTTGCTATATTTAACAGATGCTAAATGCTACAGAACATGGTATGGTTTGAATTAAACAAATAATAATAATAATAATCTCAGGACAATTCACACAGCGCCATCTAGACCCAAGTTAAGCTAGCTAAAGCTTGTGTCATGGGTACTATAACCGATATAAACATAGATTTTTTTTAAATACATACATATTATACATAGAAAACACCCAGATCGATACAAACAATCATACTCATTAATACAAATGTTTGTGCCGTGCGAGGAACCCGCGACCATCGGTCGTAAAGCGGTGTGCTAGACCGCAAGACCACCGAGGTCGTCAATAAATATATATAATAAATATATAAACGGTATAAACAGTCAGTCTAGCACACAAACAATACAAATCTCATAACATTATATTCTACCGTCAGCAGCGAGCCAGCAAAGAGCCGTACAGCAGTAATATTCCACACATTATGCCCGTCATTCTATTTACACAACACTCCAACATCGAAAAGGGTCTTTCAATAAAATATTACTCCCCATTCTGTCTTATTCCATTGTGAACGAAGCCTGTGTTTTGGCTGTATGAGTATTATTCCGTACATCGCCTTTCCTTTGCCTCATCGAAAAAAAAAGTCTACTAGTCTATGCTGTTCGCGTCTTTGTCGATGTACCACCGGACATTTTGTTATCGTAATACAAAATCTTGTATACGGTATTTAATTGAAATGTTACGCTATTTTAATGGGGTTTGAATGGATTTTTCATAGTAAGTTAAATGAATGGTGAAATATCTAATGATACGTGAATAGATGTTTGGTACAGATATGAAAGGATGTATTTTTTTTCTACAAATGCTATTATTATATGACAAAAACAAATAAGTATAATTTGATTTCTTCTATGATTTTTAAACATTTAACATTAATTGTAGTAATAATGTTAAAAGGACATTGCTAATTATGGATTATTTATGTTATGATTTATTTATATTTCTAATAACCATATATTTTTTAATGGAGAACCACACGAATTGCTGTCGTAACGTAATTGATAACTTTATATATACAATTTATGTAAAAGCTAGTATGAATATATATCATACTAGCTTTTGCCCGCGGCTTCGCTCGCGTTAATTTATCCCCTTAGGAGTGGAATTTATCAAAATCCTTTCTTAGGGGATGACTACGTCATAGTAGCTTTATGCATGCAAAGTCTTAGCCAAAGAGACAAGACAAAGTTTCATACAAACTTTCATCCCCTATTTTATCCCATTGGGGGTAGAATTGATCAAAATCCTTAGTGGGTGCCGACGTCATAACATAAGCATGCCAAATTTCAGCTCGATCCGTCCAGTTGTTTGGGCTGTGCGTTGATAGATCACTATGTCAGTCAGTCAGTCACCTTTGAGTTATATATATCTAGATATTTGTGTATGTTTATTCATTCTTATAGTTTCACTTATTATTGTGTATAATCTTAATTCCTCCTTTCCATTTTTTCTTTTCTTGTACACGTATATATGGCTGACGTAGTAACTAAATTATCCTAGAACATTTTCTAGGTTTGCTGGAAGAAATCTCTTTCTAGAGATAAGGTTGCCACGTTACTTTTACTTTATTACTATTATTTTTGCCTATGTGTGTGTACAAGTAAGAATTTTAAAATGTTACTTTAATTATTCCATCCAACAAACCAATCATTCATACATACTCACAAACTTTCGTGTTTATAATATTAGTAGGTACTTATAACTTTAGTAGAGTAGTTAGCAAAAATAATCAAATATCTGTCAAATTAAGTACCTGTCACGTTTCAAAAATTGGTCGCATACCTTATAATATTTACAAGGTAAAAAAAAGATAAAAACTCACATCAAACATCTATTCACTGGATGCAGTAGTTAAATAAATATATATACACGTAGCGTAGAGTTCGTACGCATCAAGAAATCCCGACGGACGACGTGAGATACAGGGTTGCCAACCTTAAAACATTTAGTATCATACATTTATAAGAAATAAAAATGTATGTTTTTTTTATTTAATTTCTATAATACCTCAATTTTGGAAGAAATTGCTATTTAGCGATAAGGCCGCCCATTGTTTATCTCTATATTGTTTAATTTAGTTTTTTTTATCTATTTGGTACACATATTAATTTACGTAATTGTTTTCTGGTTTCTCCAAGTTCAAGTCAACCATTCAAGAACACATATTGAGACAAAAGTCAAACCCGTTTCATTAACACAGTTAAAATTAAAACTTTAATATTTATACACATATAAATATAATATAAATAAAAAAATTATATACCATACATATATATATATATATATAAACTTCTGTAAACAATATCGCTTGCCGTGGCAACCAGTAATTAAGTCAACACTATATACCTGAACTCTTTGCAAGTTATAATAATTGTAACCTCATGGTGTATGTCTTGTTGGTCGCTCAAATAAATAAATAAATAAATTTTCTTTTTTTTCTGTGAGAGGAACAATAAAGAGTTATTCATTCATTTTGCTCTCTAAGTATTTAATAATGTGTTCTATGAGTATTTAATTGAATTAATCCTAATTGGTTGTTTGTATTCACACACTTAAACTTAAAAATGTAAAGTAAGAATAAAATTATTTAAAAGAGCAACACACAAGTTTCTTGCTCGTTCTTCTTGTGATGAGACAGCTTTCCGAATGAGCGGTAGATTAAACAAAAATGTGATGACTATTCAAAAGTGTTTCAATGTAAGTTTATTTGAATAGATGAATTTTCTATTCCCTTCTATTCTATTCTATTCTAACTTCGCAGATGCATGTATGAAAACATCGTAAGTATGAGGATTTTTTAATGTAATTGTAATTGCAATAAACAAGCTGACGGTAAGTGGTAACCATCGCCTATTCAGTTTAACAGTATCCGTGATACCACTCATCCGTTTCCATTTCAGAAGACTAAGATGTCATGCCTCTTATCCTAGTAACTAGCTTTTGCCCGCGGCTTCGCTCGCGTTAAATTATCCCCTTGGGGGTAGAATTAATCAAAATCCTTTCTTAGCCGATGCCTACGTCATAACATCTACCTGCATGCCAAATTTCAGCCCGATTCGTCCAGTGGTTTGGGCTGTGCGTTGATAGATCACTATGTCAGTCACCTTTGAGTTATATATATAGATTTCAGCGACTTATCTGCTCCTACCACCAAACCCACCGAAACGCAATCTACAAAGCAAGATTCTAAGCGGTTGAAATAAGCTACCTATGCATATATATGTGTATATAAATACATACATAATATACATAGAATATATATAAATACTACATACATCTATACATATAAATAAAATTGGAGTGGCTGTTTGTAATATTGAAATAACCGTTTCTTACTATGTGCATATGAATATAAATAAGATACATACACCAAAATATCATTTTTACAAATTTTGTCTGTCTATTTGTTCCGGCTAATCTCTGAAATTACTGAACCGATTTTGACGGGACTTGTTTTGGCGGGTAGCTGATGTAAGAAGGAGTAACTTATGCTACTTTTATTTTAGAAAAATAAAGATATATTCCACGCGGACGAAGTCGAGTTCTGTGTACATATATATGCTGTATTTGTACTGAGCGAGGATTCGAACCTGCGATCATCTACAGTAAACCGGCTAAATCGCTAAACTACGGACGTTATCATAGGGTTGGCATCCCTGATGCGATAACAGTGGCGGGGGCTGAGTAGTGCATATATTTTTAGAGCAAACACCCGGTAATTGAACTGAGGACTGCCCGCGACGGATCCACCGTGACGGAGGGACACTCCTTTGCCTATTGTGGTGTAAAAAATTATAATACCATCTCGAATTGACATGGGTTTCGGACACCATTGTGTGGTATCAACATCTAATTATAATATAGCTATACCCGCGGTTTCACCCCGTGAAACTTATAGCCTATATGTTATTCTAATGTATAAGCTATATTGCTATAAAGTTTCATCAAAATCAGTTGAGTAGTTTTTACGTGAAATAGTAGACAGTAGAGACATCCATCCATACTCACAACTTTCGCG